AACAATAAATTCTAGTCTTTTCCCGAACATGATTGTCCTGACTCATCACCTGTAATCCCAAGAGATTCAAACGATTTTAATATACTTTTTAATATGTTAGTAATTTATATTTTAGTATGTATATTTTAATAAAGCTCTTCTTCTAAACTAATAACGAGTGTGAACGTATATTTTAGACAAACTGCTGATGGTGGAGAAAAACACCGAACCGTATTTGTAACGTTTTAAATGAAAACAATAAAATTGAACCCAGGAATTTCTTTAGAATTTGTTTGCATTTTTGAAGCTTTTGCTTTGTTCTCCAAAATAATGAATAATTTGCGATAAGCAATTTTGAACAAAAAACACGCGATAAAGAATTAATTTCTCCAACTTTCTCAAAATTAAATTACTAATTTTAAATAAGAGATTTTGCGATAGGTTTTGTTTGGATATAGTCTACATTTTCTTTGAGGAATCATATTTTGTTTATTAAATCGAGAAAATGATATGAAATAAGAATATTGAAACTGGTAAGTTGGGCGCTTAGCGGTTTGAGAAAACAATTATTTCCTGTCGATTCCGTAAATGCTAGTGACTGGCTTGACTGAGCTTTTCGCCAATCACGCCTTTGAAGTTGCAAGTCATTCGTGCTTGCGAAACGTTGGAAGTAAGTTATTTTCCAGTACGGCCAAAACGCTTCAAAAACTCACCACTTTCCAACTAAGACGACCTCAACATTTTGTGTTAAAAACAAATATTGTTTAATTATCAGCAATTTTTTAATATACTTGCCATTTATATCAATATTTCCCAAATGCGTCTTTCGTCTACGTTATTGTGTATGTATCTAATTTTGTATTATTATATCAAACGGCCAGGTCGGTCGTTTAAATAACATAATAAATATTTTTTTTGTACGACATTTCTTGCTATGTATATATTGCTGTTTTGAAACTATTTCTAATTGTGTAAATTTCATGCCGAAATATTGGACGTTTCAGCTTTAGTCACAGCAAACTTGTTCATCTGTGAGCTTGAGCATTTTATTTGATGACTTTATGCTTTTACAGATATCTGAAAATGTTTGCGGATGAAAATGGCAGCAATGTGTAAATTTGCATCTACACATTTCAATTAAGTTACTAATGTATGTTTTCCGCATTCGAGTTTTTAATATGTGGAACTAATTATTATTTGACGCAAAAGAAGAAACAGGAAGAAATAAAAACACATGAAAAAAAACGATAAATAATAGTATGATAAGCTAACAGGGTCTTATTTTATAATTGTATTTGTAGATCTCAGATTTTCTTAACCGTTTATGGCGTTCAGAAGCCATTTAAAAACCTTAAGGCCTGCTTTAAAGGTATTTTTGCTAACAAACCGGACATTAACAAAATTTAAAATGTTCATTACAAATTGCGTTAATGACTTATTTAATTTCTTGCACTTTGAATTTTTAAATTGAGTTTACGAGTTATTTGGCGCAATGTAAAAAAGTATAAATACATTTTTTTTTAAACTTGCATGCAAGAAATCTGTTGAAAAATCAGTTTTTCAGCATTAGCTGGAAATGAAGCAGAAAGCAGAATCAAAATGTATCCAGTCTGGTTTTCGCTCTTAAAACTGTGCTTATGTTAAAGGAATTGGACTCATACTTACATAGTTTATTGCCTGAAAGTCATGTATTTCATAGTCATTTCACTGAGCTCGTTCTTGAACAGTTAAAACTTATATAAAACCTAATATTATTTTGGTATTTGGACTTAACTTGTAATAACTAATAATAACTTGCTATGTGAAGGTTTTCTTACATGAGAAACTGGCTATTTGATATTGGTCATGCCCTTGCATGTAGAAGGCGCCACCTAGAAGTATTTTTCTCTTTTGAAGAGTTATAACTTTTTCTGCATGCTTGTATCGTGTTTTATTTTCAGCAAGTCAATTCCGCAATCAATTTGGCGTAAAAAGAGTATTCTTAACAAAAGTAGCTAGGAGTAGCGACATATTTTGATTTAAAGTAATCGACGCATGTGTCTTCGCCAAGCAGGTTAGTTTACAAAATAGCTGCACTTTTTCAAAAACACAAAATATTTCCAAAACCGATACTCGTAGCGACTTTTAAAAAATACTTTCATTATGTAAAAATGATAGAGGAATTGATTTTTGTGCTAAAATATGTGGTATAATAATTCACGAGTTACGAAAGTTATGACTTTTCAAAAGAGAAAATACATAGGAAATTCCTTTCTCAACTACCTACCAATATCGAATTAAACTTTCTCATGTTACGAACCCCCCAATTACCAAGTTTCGCTCAAATAATGAAATTTCCAAAAAATACCGAAAAAAAAACAATATATATAATTTTTATCTTAAAGTTACCTGAAGTGTTACCCAATAAACATCGAGAACTCTTCAACACAGGTTTTCTATAATTCAGGTTCAAGAATTTCCTTTTCCAAGAAAGATTAAGACACATAATAACACACAACATTAACCATGCGGACAATCATAAAAAATAAACAACCAGAACTGAATTTATCTAGAAAACGGTTTAAATTATAAAACTGTCAAAAGAAATTTAAAATTGGTGTTTCCTATTATGAAAAAAAAAAACAGTAAATACAAAATCCACAGAAATATAGAAGCACAGCAAAAAACTGTTTGCCAAATCTTCACAAATCAGAACAGCAATTTTCTTTCAAACTTTCGAGCAACAAGCTATTAGTAGGCAGTTCGGTCAAATGTAGGCTTTAGCACTCTGAATTCAATTCAAATTCCCTAAGTTTTAAGACATCTGCAATATTCTCCTTTCAATGACTGTTTGCGACCCAAATCCAGCATTCCTAGTCAGAATTTTCATCCAAATTCAAACTTTTTTCAAATAAACCTACAGACTTATTCTAGAGTACCGAATTTCCTGAGAAATTCCTCAAGTCCTTTACTGTGCGATCGCTAACGAATTCATGTCTAATCCCCATACATCTAAAACTGGGGTACATGTTTATGTTAACTCACATTGTGCGAAGTGTCAAAAATGAGTTAATTATGTCCTGAACCGATTGTCGGATACGAAATTGCTGTTAACAGAAACAAGAACTCATCCAGTTCATTTTACACGCAACAAAGGCCCCCAAGCCTTTGCTTTCCTTTGTTCCGAGTGGTTTTGTATTGGTAATTGCTCCATTTTGTCTGGGAAGAATGGTGTTGATGTCGAGGGCCGTTTCGGGTTTGGAATGGAAAAATGATGCAGTGCAAGTGTGGGGTAGTCGGAATTAATAAACATCAAAACATCAGGGAAATGCCAACAGAAACAGCTAAGCAAATTTAGAATGTCGGTTTCGGAAAAACGTTTTCGCTGCTTGCCTCTACAGCACCATAGCCAGTTACCGATTTAACACGGTTTAATGTGAATTTCATGGTCGTCTTTCGCCTAGGAATCACCATGATTTAAATATAGCTAAACAAATATTTAGAAA